CGCCTCGCCCCGCCAAGCCGCGCTCGACGCCACCCGATTACGCCGCCCTATCTTCACCCCCTCGGCACGGCCAGTGATAATATTGATAAGGTCCCGTGTCTCTTTCCGACACCGTGCGCTCCTTCCCTCTTCGTGCCGCGTGGAATCCATGCCGGATGCACCGCGCCGGCCCGGGAGAGGGGAAAGCCGCGGATAATGTGGATTCTTCGGGATGAAACGGCACCCGGGAAAATTATCGCTTTAATTATTGCGCTAGTTTGCCCCCGTGCTTTCTTCCTGTTGGGAACCGGCGGAGACCTGAAATACGGCGTGAAGCTTCGACGGCGATCGAGGGAGTAAGGATTGATCGGTTAGGGAAATATTTTTGGCCTTTTTCAGCGACTCGGGACTTTTCTGTGAGCGGATTGTTGCCGGTCTGTGTTTAATTTGATGTCTTCGGTTTTTATTTCACGGTTTCTAGTTTTGTTGTAGGTTTCTCTTGTGTTGGTTTATTGGGTGATTTGGTTTCTCGTAGAGGGGTGAATGGGAGGTTGGTTTTTTGATGGATTTTGCGTGGTATTTGTTTGCGAGCGGAACTACGGTTTATGTTGGACTGTGGAAGCATAGAACTTTGGGATTGCTGGGTACTGAACGGAAAAGGCCGTTTATATGGCGACTGGTTGATGAAAGACGGGGAAGTAATTATTGTTGGAATGTTTGTATGTTTATGACACGCGCGTACGAGAGAAGAACGGTCGATCAATTCTCCTGTGAATAGAATCTTTGAATAAAAGGCACGTTGCCTTCGACGGTAATACCTGGAAATTTGTCTGCGGAAATTTGAATTTGCGTCAATAATTTGCACACTCCTCCACTTACATATATTTACATACATTTACACGATATTAACAATTACTGCTATGAACCGAAAACCTAATTTCTAATCGGTGCTGATTATGCTTTCAACGGTTCCACGGGTATTTTTGCCCGCGGTTACATAAACCGCTGGGAGAATGGTTCGGTCTTCACGATGAGGGAGGAATAATTAAACGTCGATTCAATAATTTAAGGGTACGGAAATTGGCAGCCGCGTCCGCTTTATTGTTTATTTTATTGAAACGACCGGTCGATGCGTCCCTCGTGCGACGACTACCGTCCGTTTCCATTTCCAGGCGTCGCGGTCGGGTTTTGTTGTAGATCCCGTTCGAACACGAGGTTAATTATAAATCGTTGCGAGCCATCGCGTTCTAACAAAGAACGCGCGCACAAGCGTGAATTAGCTGTCGCCGCGACAAACGGTGACCGTCTTTGCGAGCAGGATCGCATTTTGCGAAACCGTTCGCGGTTATCGACAGCTTTCCTATCGTTCGGACAAATGAAATCCAGTAACAACGACCTCCGAAACAAAATCATTGAAATCGGTGGAACATTCTTTGCTAAATGCTAACATGATTTTCCAATTTCCGCCGTCCATAACAATAGCAACGTAACAGTGGATACCTACACATTTATATTATACCGTGACAATCTTAAAATCAATAGCACGAAAAGTATAATTGAATTGCGTGCGACTGTAGCTTTGTTACCGATTCTATGTGTCTATTCATATTCGACAGAATGGTTCGCTAGTTTTGGACAAAATGTTAATTCTACATTCGTTCAGAAAGATGTAAATTGGGATGAAGGATATCGTATTCCAGGTTTAAATTGAAATTTGAACCAAGGAGAAGGTGCCGAAGGCATTATCCATCGATGACACTCTCTAATATTAATGTGTCGGCAGTTTTAGTTTGATTTTCGTTTTAAAAACAGACCGACTTAAAGTGCACTAGAAGGAAATTGCCTGAACAACCGTCGGCATGAACGTAAATCAGTTTTATCAGATAGAAGCTGACTGGATCCATTGCAGGTATCTGAAGTTCCCAGGAATTTCAAGCGGAATACCACCATGACCAGCGAGAGATCCAGTTAAACAAATTCTTGGACAGTGATCAATTAGAAACTACATTAGACTAATAACACAGACTGCGCATACGAGGTATGCTTTCGTTTTTGTCACCGACGAGGGACAGCGTAATCTTGCACATCTATCTTTCTATTACAGGACCAGCCTCCAGAAACTGTAAACCCATAGTTCATTACAAATCAATTCTGTACGAAATAGTAATAAGGAAATCGCAGGACATTTCGTTTAAACGTCTGTAATATATATAAATTGATAATATATTACAATAAACAACATCGATAATATATTACACATATATTAAAGAACATGATACAACATAAACTTTTGTCGTATGAATAAATATTACCTTAATATTCATGAATAAAGCCCACGAGGTGAACGCACTATCCTTGTAATGAGTAAGACAAGGGTCGTACTATAGTGCGACAAGGATAGAGAATTTCAGGAGAAGGTACTAGTAGCGCCATCTAGCGGTAGAGTATCTGGAGAGTTTGTCCCTATACCCGCAATGTGTAAGAGAAGGACAGAGACAGTGTGCGACAAGGACAGAAACACTGTTCCCAGTGCTACCAACTTTGGAAAAGCATCTCATCAGTCCCTGGTACCTACTCGTGAAGCATGATGACCAAGGAGGTATCTGACAAGGACAGACTTATGCGTTTCTTCGTGTAAGACAAGGGCAGACGAAAAGTAGCGCCATCTAGGGGTGGCATCGCCGAACTTACTTGCGCTATGTAAATGATAAAAAACAACCAAACTGCCGGCGAATTCATTAATAAATCGATTTCCACGATTGATTCCTTAACGTTTGCAATTGAGGATCATAGAGTGGCTCTTTACTTACTTTTTTGTATGGCTTTTGATAGGATTTTGTATCGCATTAATGATTTATTAATTGTTATCCGGGGCCATGTCGCAAGATAACCTATAACTTTTTTGACAGGTGTCGATTAAATGGTTCAGTTTCGATCTTAATAGGTATATGTGATGAACATTTGTGATTGAAAAAATTACAGCGAACGTACTGGAATATTATATTAGCGGTTTCAATCATATTTGAATTGTAATTAATGAGTTACTAATGATTTTCTGATGGGTGTATGCAGCGTAATAAGTGTGACGACGCATCGACAGATGATTGGTGGCGCGAACTATTGCGACCACGCTCAAACTTCTAGCCAAATAATTGTCTCCGTCAAATCATCTCCGTCCTTGTCGCACTCAGTACGCTATATATGCCCATCGGAAAATCGTTGTTAATTTATTAATTACAACTCAAACGTGATTCAAGCTGCTATTGCAGTCTTCCTACAGGTCTGTACTAATTTTTCCAATCACGAATATTCACGACTTATGCCTATTAATTGAGATATTAATGATTTACTCGGCACCAGTCACAAAAGTTTTTGGATATTTTGCGACATGGTCCCGAAAAACAATGAATAAATAATTAACGCGGTACAAAATCCTATCGGTAGCCACATAAGAAAGTAGCGGAAGGACCATTCTACGATCCTCAACTGCAAACGTTAACAAATAATTCGTGGGAGTCTACTTATTAAAAAATTCTCCGTCGGTTTTGTTGTTTTTACATTCCATAGCGCAAGTAGTTCGCAGATGTAACCGGCAGATGGCGGTACATTTTGTCTGCCTTTTTCTTACACCAACAAGCGCGTAAGTCCATCTTTGTCGGATACCTCCTTAGTCATCATGCTTCACGAGTAGGTACCAGGGATTGATGAGATGCTTTTTCAAAGTTGGTGGCATGAGGATCTCTGTTGCTGTCCTTGTCGCACACTATCTCTGTCCTTGTCTTACACATTGTGGGTATATCTAAGAACTCTCCAAATGTTCCACCGCTAGATGGCGATACTGTCGCCCGCAACCAAAATTGTCTTTGTCTTACTCATTG